ATTTGGCACTAAACAACAATCTTTCTGCTATTCCAGATGATTTTGCAATGTAAAAAAAAAATTGACATAAGGTACTTCATTCCATTTCCCTTCACTTTCCAAGTCCCATTCTTTGGCTATTTTTCTTGGTCTTCCAAAATATACAGTGGCCACCAATGATTACAATATTCAATCAACTGCTTCCTTGTGAGTGGGTCACTCCCAACATCCTTCCAATGCTTTAATAAACATCCCAGAGGTGACCTTTTCAAGATTCCCCCTTCTAAAGATTGTCCAGAACCCGTGATACAACAATTACGGACAACAATTACCAACAATTAGCAACATCAGACACATTCACACACTCACACACCCTTCCACAGCCGGCACTCTGGGTGATATCGTCCAAATGAGCCCTCTCTTTAACCGGTTTTCCCTTATAATCCCTATAACCCAATCTGACAGGAAATTTCTTCCCCGACTTACGGACAGGTTCCCTTATAAGTAATGCCTTATAATCCCAGGGGATCTTGCACCGAACTCACTGGATCAGGGGATCAGAGGATCTCCCTGAAAAAGACTTCAGTGGCGCTGGAGTCATCTCGATCCCGAGAATCCATCGAGCATTAGATGTGTTGTCCCATCTGGGTTGCCAAATTGTCACCAAAAATTGGGAATGAAACTCCTTAACACCAGGTGTATTAAAGAGCAGGCATTACTTTATTTGGCACCGGGTGCATGGGGGATCTTTCCACCTAGCATGCACACTGTACGTTGCATCAGCCATCCCTTACATGGTTCTTCGATACACATATGCATCACATTTCTTGGAACAATCATACATATTCACTACATTTCCCAGAACTAATTATAATATTGGCATAGTCTTCTACGCATGCTCCTAAGAGCTTCTACAGGGGTCTCCGGTGGTCTCTAGTGGTCTCTGCGGGAGGTGAACTCTTCTTGAACCTTTGGGCTCTTCTCCTCATATGGTCACAAATTGGCTCATCACCACCATTTTTTACAGTTCTGGTTGTCCTTGTCTGGTTTCAGCCAGTTTTTATCTATCTCAGGACATGGCTGTTAGCTTAGGCCCTGTATGCTTGACTAATCCAACCATTTACCTCACAACTATTTACAACAGTTACACACAATTTAGCATCTAAAGACACTATAGCACAACACATGTAATACCCTCAGATAACCTGCTATTGTCTGGATAACAGTTTCATGTTTCAGAGGACAGATTACTGCACAGATTCAGGAAGAAGGCTTCCCAAAAGCATGGGAAGACAAAGGTATGCAACAGCAAATTGAGAAGTCTGAAAATACAGCAGATACATATAGGCTAGCAGTAAGGAATAAGAATAGTAGGCCAGAACAAATGGCTGCTCACAATATTAAGTTCCACTTCTTCTCTAACCCATGCAGCTACAGTGACCTCGAAGTTATTCTCGAAGAGGATAAAAATATCACAAATTTGCTGCAGCCATAAATCAGTGACTGATTTTTAAGCAGTCTACACTTAGATGACTTTTTGCATCATCTAACTGTTCAAGGCAGAACCTAACCCGTTGCATTTTTCAAAATGAAACTATTTCATTCCAAAACTGCATTAAATGCACGCTTCGAGGTACACTAGACCTTAAACTCACTCTAACGCACTAAAAATAGCAGCACAGGGGCCCAATCTGCCCTTCGCTATGAGGAAAGGTGATTTTTAACAGCAACCTGCACCTATGCCCTAGATGAACTTGCAGGCACATCACTAACATCGGTTCACCCACGGCCTGACAAACACAACGCCCAGAAATATAACAGCCCAACATCAAAGCAGGAACACATGCAACAACGGCACTCTAACTACACAGGCTATGGCTGGTACTTACAGTTAGCAGCTCAGTATCGTTCACCGCCTCTACCGCAGCTCTATTAACAGCTGGCACGCCACACAGGTCCCTTAGGGAAGAAAAACAACCAACAAGTAACTGGCTGATTATTTCACAAAAACGTCTCTCCTCCCAAAAGAGCCGTCGATTACTTCGCCAACGTTTACCTCAGGTTGCAAGGTGCTGGACAAACCGCTCGCCCTCCCTCGCCGAACTCGGCTGCCAGCAGCGTGCTGGAGCCGGCGCCACGGCAGACATTTTGTACGTGGGCACCCACCAAGTTACCACAGGTCGGGGACACCCCCCACCGGCACCGCTCCGAGGAGGCCTTCACCAACGGCCGCCACGCATCCCGCTCCCGAGGAAGACCCCCGCCGGGGCAGGCCGGGCCGGGCCGCCAGCCTGCCCCGAGCCCTTCCCCGCAGACGTGCTCCCCGGCAGAGGCGCTTGGCGAGCGGGCACGACCCGACACCGG